CTGTTTCGGCGCTGCGTCGGACCAAACGTTGCCGTGTGAACGGGGCTTGAGAGAGGAGCACAGCGACCTCCCTGAACAGAGCCCAGTCACCATAACAGTGGCAGACATACAGGAAAGAGTCTCAGATATGAAAAAAGAGGAGCACAGCGACCTCCCTGAACAGAGCCCAGTCACCATAACAGTGGCAGACATACAGGAAAGAGTCTCAGATATGAAAAACTGGACAGCACCAGGCCCGGACATGGTCCACACCTACTGGCTAAAGAAACTCACAGCACTCCATGAGCGCCTAGCAGCACAAATGAACCAGTTGCTGAGGGATGGGACTCACCCAGGATGGCTACCCGAAGGGCGGATGATCCTGATCATAAAGGATCCGTCAAAGGGTGCAATCCCATCGAACTATCGGCCAATAACCTGTCTCTCCACAACATGGAACTTCATGTCAGGCATCATTGCAGCTAAGATAAGTGGACACATGGATAAATACATGAAGGAAGCACAGAAGGGCATTGGTAGGGATACCAGAGGTGCTAAACATCAGCTCCTGGTTGACAGAACAGTCGCACAAGACTGCAGGTCCCGACATACCAACCTGTGCACAGCCTGAATTGATTACAAGAAAGCCTATGACTCGATGACATGGATCACGGAATGCTTGGAGTTGTATAAGGTGAACAGGACACGAAGAGCCTTCGTTGGGAACTTAATGAGGATGTGGAAAACCACACGTGAAGCCAATGGCAAGCCACTTCCCCAAGTGTCTGTCAAATGCGGCATATATCAAGGTGATGCACTCTCCCAACTGCTGTTCTGCAAAGGACTGAACCCCCTAAGCCAAGTAACCGCCAAGCCTGGCTATGGATACCGCCTCAGAAATGGAGCTATGATCAGTCACCTCCTCTACATGGATGACATAAAGCTGAATGCGAAGAGCGAAAGGGACATAGACTCCCTGATCCACACAACCAGGATCTACAGCAGATGTCATTCAGGCTTGAGAAATGTAGTCGGATGGTGACTAAGCGAGGCAAGGTAGTCCACACTGAAGGGTTCTCACTCCCTGAAGGAACAATAGCAGACATTGAGGACAGCTACCAGTACCTCGTTATACCACAAGCCAATGGCAACCTCGAACTGGCAACAAGGAAAGCATTGTTTTGAATCTGATTATTGATATTATTTGTGCGCACATAAAATAACACAGGAGGTTACATTCAATTGTCACATTGGCAGTAGTGCATCCCCAGTATAAGTTCATGTACAGTGATCCCTCGCTATTTCGCGGTTCGTTTATCGCGGCTTCAGTGCATCGCGGATTTTTTCAAATAAATTCATTAAAAAAAAAAAAAATTAAGTCCGCAAAAAGTCCGGGTGAAGCAGCGAAAGTCAGCAAAACAACAGCGAGTCACATAGAGCAACATATACAGTACTACATGTATATGTTTACTGTATTTTGTTATTCATACACTAACCTAACCTCACTTATACATGTTTAAATCTATTAGTATACAGCATTAAGTAAAGTTAATTGACAAAATTTACTTCTCCATGCATGTATACCATTAAATTTGGCCGTATAAATATTTTTTATACTCATACACATATACCTATACGGGGGGGGGTCGCTACTTCGTGGATTTTCGTTTATCGCGTGTGGTTTTGGTCCCCATTAACCGCGATAAACGGGGGATTACTGTATGTAGCTGTAGGAAGCAATGGCAGCTCTTCTGATGCTAGAATCTTCAAAGACAGTGTGATCTTCACAGAAGAAGGAAGAGGGAGCAGCAGCAAAGATATCCTTTATTTGTCCCACACTGGGGAAATTTACAGTCTCTCCATCTTGCAGCGCGGGTGTAACGGTCTCTGGCTGAAAGAGCTACCCAGTGCTGTCAGGTCGGGCTGGAGGGGGTGGGAGAGACTGTCCATCATAGCTTTTATCTTAGCTAGCATCCAATACCTCCATCTGAACTCTACCTGCGATAGTCATCCAGTCCCCTACTTCTTTGTGAGGGATGTTTTTTGAACCTCATCTTAGAATTTTTCAGAAACCCCGTAATATCTGAAAGACCAAACATATAAGCAATGAAATGTACTCTATATTAATACTACTTTCCAATGTATTGCTTTGTCTATGTATTAAAATCCCCATACCACCAGAGTACAAATATTCAGCAGTTCGCAACCTTTTTTGGTTGGGACATGTTCTATGATGAGTACCCCCCTCCCTCATACTTGCTGATTGTTCTCCAAAAGTAGAACATGATTAATTAATTAACTGAAACTTATGTTGTTTAATTTTCATAATTTGGACATGTAATTCTTAAGATTTGTCTTCTTTTTGATGCAAATTTAAATAAAACTAAATATTCTGTCCTAAAATATATATTTCAAAGTGAGGGACTGGCAACGGAAAACGCTTGATCCTCTCTGAGGTTCCACTTAGTCCTCTGTACCTTCAGTAGCATTTGGTCCGCTGACCTGAGGCATTGCGCAGGTACCTAGAGGAGGATGAACTCAAAGAGGTTAGGTGGGGTGAGGCGTTTAAAGATTTCAACACAAAGTAATTTTTAGATGAACTCTAAAAATGTAGAGGGAGCCTGTGAAGGGGTGAAGTTATGTGCTCTCTGCTACAAGCTCTAGTTAGGGGGCAAACAAGAATATTTTGGACCAACTCGAGACGTTTGAGGAAGGACTGGCTGTCTCCAAAATAAAATGCATCCGCACGCACGCACGCCATCCGCGCACGCCATCCGCGCACGCACGCGCGCGCACACACACACACACACACACACACACACACACACACACACACACTCTCCATCCATCCATCCATCCATTTTCTGATCCGCTTTATCCTCACAAGGGGTGCTGGAACCTATCCCAGCCGTCTTTGGGCAGTAGGCGGGGGACACCCTGAACCAGTTGCCAGCCAATCACAGGGCACACAGAGACGAACAACCATCCGCGCTCACACTCACACCTAGGGACAATTTAGAGTGTTTCATCAGCCTGCCATGCATGTTTTTGGAATGTGGGAGGAAACCGGAGTACCCGGAGAAAACCCACACAGGCCTGGGGAGAACATGCAAACAAAGGGCTTCACATGCCCAGAGTTGACAATATTGATGACATCCCCTGATCTTACTTCCTACGAAGGCAAGGGAAAACCGAAAAAAAAAATCTCAGGGGAAAAATGGGAATCCTTGCACAGTGGCACCATTAGTTTAAATATTATATTTATGTATAATGTCACTAAGCGGAAGCATGTAGACCAGGGGTGTCCTCAAGGGCCGCTCCTGCCTGTTTTCCAGCTCTCCCAGGAGCAACACAACTGATTCAAATAATCAGGACCGTTGTAATGCTGCTTCAGAGCTGGCTGATAAGCTGATCATCTGAATCAGGTATGTTGCAGTCAGGAGAGCTGGAAAACAGGCAGGACAATGACCCTCCAGGCCTGGAGCTGGACATGCCTGATGTATATGCTAAACAATAGCGGACCAAGTACTGATATCAGCGGTACTTGAGATGTAAACCTACAAAACTCCGAAGTAGTATTGCCATGCATTCCATGGTGAGTTGTGAGGCAAGAACTAAACCAAGAAAGTGTTGAGCCTGAAACTAAAACACATTTCAAGGTGTTCTAATAGTATGTTACTATCAACTATAACGGTCTGTTCTTGTTTTGGATTTTGATCAACTCATTAAATATATTCAAGAAATGCAGTATTTATAATGAATATGAGACAATTGATATAAAAAGGAGAATGAATAATTATATATATGTATATATGTAGGTGTGTGTGTATGTATATGTGTGTGTATATATATATATATATATATATATATATATATGTATGTGTGTGTATGTGTATGTATGCACGTGTACGTGTATGTATGTGTATGTATGTATATATATGTATGTATGTATATACAAACAGAAGGGTGTATAAATAGATAAGTACAGTACACATAAGGGTAAAAGTACTTGATGAGAGGTAGATCTCTTCCTTTTCTTTTGCATTGAAAAATGATCTATTTATATTATTACACAACAAGGGGTAGGACTAGATAAGTTGTATACTTCTTCCTACTCCTTTGAACATATAACGGTGATGATGTTTGTTTTAAACCGGCGCTAAGATTGAATAATACAAACCCAATTCCAATGAAGTTGGGATGTTGTGTTAAATGTAAATTAAAAACAGAATACAATGATTTGCAAATCATGTTCAATATATATTTAATAGAATACATTACAAAGACAATATATTTATTGTTCAAATTGATGAATCTTGTTCTTTTTAGAAAAGTTAGGTTCAAAAACGTGCTTTTCTTTTCAACCTCTTTCATTTTTTTTCCATCCATCCATCCATTTTCTGAACCGCTTTATCCTCACATGGGTCGCGGGCATGCTCGGGCCTATCCCAGCTGTCTTTGGGCACTAGCCCGCCTAGTACACTCTGAACCGGCTGCCAGCCAATCGCAGGGCACACAGAGACGAACAACCATCTGTGCTCACGCCTAGGGACAATTTAGAGTGTTCCATTCACCTGCCATGCATGTCTTTGGAATGTGGGAGGAAGCCAGAGTAGCCGGAGAAAACCCACGCAGGCCCGTGGAGAACATGTAAACTCCACACAGGAAGGTCGGAGCCGGAATCTAACCCTGCACCTCTGAAGGATTTTTTTTTTTTTTTTTTTTTTTTTATTGACAGTGTGAGTTTTTATTCAGCAACGTGAGCGTTTTTTTTTTTTTTTTTTTAAATAATGCTGCCAACTTCCCCACAATATTTGTGATAATTAACATACTCTGAGGTTCATATCGTGATATTTTATGTGACATTTAGATATTGTTAGATCCGTATAAGTAAGTGTGGATAATGTGTGGTCTCTGCTGCTCCCCTCAAGCTTTAACTTGAGATAGCAATTTTGCATTAGCCCAGGATCACCAAATTGACATCATGGAATACTGTAACATTCAGGATTTTTCTATTCCAGGCGGTTTGTGTGGAACTTCTTCAGACTGGAGAATGAACATCTGAATAACTGTGGTGAGTTCAGAGCTGTCAGAGACATTAGCGTGGCTCCACTAAATGCTGATGACCAGACTCTGCTGGAGCAGATGATGGATCAAGAGGATGGAGTCAGGAACCGACAAGGCAAAAAGAGCTGGAAACGGAGCTATAGCATGAGTCTACGTAGGCCAAGACTTGCATCACAGTAAGTTTCCAACACCCAACAGTACAGTTGCTGAAATACATTATCAACATGCCAAATTGTAGTGAGGCTTGTAGCATAGTTAATCACATTCACTTTGGGCCATATTCTGCTGTTTGCACTATTTTATTTTTGCATATGTACTTTATTTTTATTAATGGTTGAGCAGTGACCGTTGCAAAGTTTCAATTGTTTTTGTTTTTTGTTTTTTTTACAAATGAATAATCATTTTTATTATTATTATTATTAGGGCCCAAGCAGTGACCGCTGCAAGGTCCCTGTTGTTTTTTGAAATTATTATTCATCACTGTTTTGACGACCTAAGAATGCACAAAAAACACACCAAAGTTTGCACAGTTATCGTGCCTGGTGAAAATGTTGACATTTTTAGTTTTCCAAACTTGAAAATATTATTATTTTAGATTTTAATGATTTGCACGGAGCCCGTTGAATTAATCCAGCTGAAAATTTTTCAGAAAATTCTCAAGACATTGGTCATGCTCTATGCCAAATATTGTGACTTTTTGGCAAACAGGGTGCGCAGTTTGAGGGTCTAAATTCCGCCATTTTGAATTTACTTTCAAAGTGGGTGTCGCCTTGACTACAGCAGCTGCTCTAACTTGACCCACTTTTTCATTATCTTCTCAAGATTTCTCCAATTTGATGGTAGTCCACATATGAAGAAACCTACGAACTTGTTTTTCATCATAGTGGTAGCGCCACCGACAGGCTAAAGGCAACATGTTTTATTCTTCAATGTTTTTCCCAGCGAATTAACACGATGTTCCCCATACATGCTGGGAATGATGTTTAGGCCTTTATCATGTGGCAACACGAAGTTTGTGAATTTTCCCAAAACGCTGTTGCCATGGAAATGCGCAATTCACCAATAAAACAATGCTGATTTTGAGTGTGTAAACATGCATAAAAACTTATGTAACTTTGCACTCACATCAGGTCTGGCAAAATTGTCAATGTTTTTTTAGGTTTTTTTTTTTTCTAAATGGCTCCCAAGCACCCCCTAGAAATTTTGTAAAAACTAGCTCCAGGTATGTTTGATCTGGATCTACGAAAATTTGGTGGTGCATGTAAATTTGGAGCCATACGCTAAACCTAACAGCAAGTCTGCCATTTGGACAATTTGGCGTCACGTTGACTACAAAGCTTGAAGAGTCTGTGACTTATCCGTGCAATTTATAGCCTTCCTATTTGTTTTTTCCCCCTCCAGATCCAAGACTCGTGACACCAAAGTTTTGATCGATGATACAGATGATGACTCCTGACATCAGGCCACGCCCCTTGCCTGGGTCCATAATTTATTCAGAGGAAATGCTTCCTCCTAACCAAGGATCTACCCAGCAAGTTGGGCGTTGAACTCACCCGAGTTTCAAGACTCTCATGCCTCTGGATGAGCCTCAATGCATGAGCCTCTGCACAGGTTCAGAACTATTTCAAAAGAGAGTGAGCAGAATTGAGAGTGCAAGCAAAACTGTCGCTGAATACTTTTACCTATCATTTACCTTCACTCATAACCTTCAAAATTCTTACCTCATCCGACAAGAGAGTGGAACTACTACACTTGTAATCACCAAAACCCCAGATGTCTTAAACAACACCCGCTCCTCAACATTCCTCTCCTCCAACCCTCCAGTTTGGGATTGACAATCCAGGTTTTTGGAACCTAAACAGACTAACATGCGCTGTCTGTGGCCCACGTGGATACACTGCAAAAGTAGATTGCGGTGTATAAATTTGTTTAGGAAATGTTCATTCCAGTTCCAGGAACACCATCTTCCCAGCTTTCTAAACACCCGGTCACGTGTGAAATATTTACATAGTTATTTATAAGTGTATTAGTCAAATGTCTGTTACATGTTGATTCTGTGACTGTAGGCAAATTTATTTCGGGATGCGTACTCTGAATTCAAACATTTTCCACCATAATTCTTGATCTTAACAAATGAAAATGTGTCACTTTTGTGGTAGTTCTTAACTATTATTATTTTTATAGCGCCTCTCAAGGGACCCAAGAACGCCAAATATATGAAACAAACTGTTCCATGTTTTTATCATTATCTGCAGCACAATGCAAGGCCAAATGTGGTGATGTTGGGCTCGACATTCACGCTCATCCCAAGTCTGACATTTTCTAACTGTGCGCATGGGTGGGCTAAACTTGGTTTTGGTATTTTCGCAGACGCATGCAATTAGAAATGGGTGGTTTGCACCATTGTGGGTGTGAACACAGCCAAATTGCTTCGCAGCCAGTGCAAGCAGCTCCTCTCATTCCCTTTAAAATCTGTGTGCGAGTGGTGCATATTCTTTGGCATGACAGAAGCACAATCTGGTTTCCTGAAGTCCATGCAGGAGGTCGAAGTGTGCAGAGTACATCAGTGAGGAACTGCAAGCAGACGTCTATGGACGGATGATGTAAAGATGGCCAGGGCGGTCACTCGTGTTGGGCATCAATAACTGTGAATCGAGTAGAGCCGGGACAATCATTGCAGTCCTCTCGGAATCGTTCCAATTTTAAAATGTTAGTTTGAAGTTTCAATTCTGAGTTCTCTGCGTGGGAAAGGCTCGAACAAAGAGGACCTAAGGAAAATGTGTTTATGCGTACAGTGTGCAACCCCTCCCGCTGCCAAAGTGCATGGCAGCTCGATCCCTGCTGGCCGGTCCTCTTGGTCAGCCCTACCGTCCGCTCACCACTAGGTGCCAAGGACATGCGTGCCACAGTGGCGACTCTGGACCCGCGGCATGCACTTTCTGCAGGCAGCATGACTGAGAACTATACGAATCACAATAATCGGCTAAGTGCATCTAATGCTGTCATTAGGCCAGCAAGTTAAACTGGAACTAAAATAGTGAGTAACAAACATGCATATACCCAGCTAATATTTAACTTATAGCATCCACAGCTAGAGCATAATAATAAAAATAAAAAACCAGATTTGTATAGCGCTTCTCTGAACACTTAGACGCTTCACAGCGGATAGATTATTCATGTACATACATACACATGCAACATAGTGTATGATTACATCAACTGCTAAGATTATATTTTCCTTGGTTGTCCTTCAAATGCAGCTTCGTCTTTGTCAAATACAGTCATACCTCGGTTTTCGACCATAATCTGTTCCAGAAGGCTGTTCAAAAAGTGATTTGTTTGAAATCCAAAACGATTTTATTAGCCCGTGATTAGGGGCTAATACACAATGCAGAATAACAAAAAAACATTTGCGTAAATCACAACAAACACGTCTGCTCACAATGAACTTTACAGGAGGAAACGTCACTTCCTCGTGTAAGGAAGCTGAGAGGAGTCAAGTGGCGTATTTGGGTTTGCTCAATTTGGTCGAAAACCGGTTTTCGGTCGTAATCCGAGGCGTAAAAATCTCGAATTTTCTGGTCGAAATCCAATTTGGTGGATAACAGAGACGTCGAAAACCGAGGTTTGACTATGTTTTTTTTTTTCTTTTTAAATCAACACTCGGTCAGCCCAGTGGTTTTCATTAATATACCTCATGGTGGGCGATATGGAGAAATCTGTCACAGTATAGGCCATTTGCACAAATCTAGATATCAATATAAATAAGAGATAAAAAATGTTTCAGACAAAAATTTAGCAAAAAACTAAAATGAACACGAGCGCTACTGTAATGTAATTTTGAGATTCATTGTGCAGATCTCAAAGGTGAAAATCAAAACATCTACATTTATATCCATACATTTTTTTGAATTGCTTCTCCACAATATTAATACTTGTATTCTGAGAATGTTCCAGCTGATGTATGGGACCGTCATTTCCTGTTAAACAGTGTGTTTTGCATTATTTTGTTTTAATTTCACTCCAGCCCCTAAAATATTTGCTGTTCAAAGTTGGATATGCGCCGCTTTATCTCGGTTCCAATGAGAACTATATGAGCTGTACTCAGTTACCCAAGTACTTCATTTCGGTGTTTCACAATAACATTAGGTTAGCTAAGCAATTAGCATGGCTTCTTTATCTCACCTACGTTAATTATACTCCTCATAGTCCTTTTGTGAGAATGATACTTGGAAGAAGTGTAGCTTATTCGCCACCATGGAGTCTGGGATTACTGACAGAGGAGCAAAATCGCAGCATGTTTATGAGCAGTAGTGGCCGACCGAAGCTCATTGCTAGTTAGCTAGATGCTGTGTCCCAAGTAGCACCGATCTTGCCTTTGACCTGCACACCACCCGTACGCCGTCTCAGCCGTTCTATGATCGGAATAACTTAAAAAAATCTGTGCTTTTTGATTTTGCTATTCTTTGTGTTTTGATGAGGCACAAAATGTAAATTTAGACTCGAAAACTGCTGTAGGAAACAGTTGACTTCGAGTCTTGTGTAATATAAAGGGGTCCCCAGCATTTGTGCTGTTTTTTTTTTTTAAACCCTTTCATGCACCCTGTAACCCGATAACATGATAAACTGTCCACTGTAGTGACCGCTGTCCCTGAAAGGGTTATTAAGTAGTTATTGATTACGGGTTTGCTATTGTTAGTTCAGTCTTTACCAGAATAGTACAATACAATTCATTATTTACATCCACCCACCTTATTTATTAATTTTAATTTGATGATTTAATTTTGCACCGTATGTGTGATGACCGTCTAATATGACTCTTCTCTTAAAACAGGGTGCTGTGCCATCAGTATCACTGAACTTTAGAATTCTATTTCGTAGTTATATTTATTGAACTATATTGAAATGAAAAGAAACAACAACAATTAATTAGAAATAAGGCGTCGAAAAAAAAAGTTGTGTTTCCATTAACCCGACCGACCGAGAATTTCTACATCGAAAAAAAACTTTACGGTCGGCATTTTTTTTCAAACCACCCTCTACATTTTTGTGTAGAGGGTTTACATCGGTGCAAACTCTCGCTATATTCACGTTGAGCGCAGGCGTCGTTTGCCCTGTCGTCTGTCAACAACATTGAAACATGGAGACGGCCGCGATCTCCGATGACAGTTTAAACCGCGTTTTCTGTGTTACAGTCGCGTGCTCGCACCGTAATGTTAAGAAAATAGCATCCATTGATGTATCGAAAAAATAAAGCGAACTATTTGATGAACACCACGAGCCGAGTGAAAACCGACGGCGGAGGCGGCGGCGCGCCCTGGCCCCCCGAGTCCGGAGCGGGGAGAAAAGTAAATAGGCGGCGCCGGCCGCGGAGCGGCGGGTTCAATGTCTTCTTGTTTTAAGTTTTATGGTTATTTTGTTAAAAAAATTTAAAAAAAAAACTGTCCGACCTACCGACCCTATGCTGAAATTTCTTGTTACTGGAAACACACTATCTTTTTTGTTTGGCCTAAACATTTGTGCACATACAAATAATTTTCAACAAAAGTGTCCTCATGGGCCATCAAAATAAGGATTTACTTTTAAAACGAAACTGTTTCGGAGAGTCGTTCATCCATTGGATTATGATTATCTGGAACCTACACAGTCCAAAATAACCTCTTCCCACTCTACATTGGCAGTATAAAATATTTGGACATTACCATCTCTCCTCGGCTGTCAGAGTTCTTCATTCTCGGTTATGCCTCATTAACCTTGTGCAGAGAAATTGCAATAGCTACACAAAGCATATTTTGTCCAAATAATGGTTCTGCTTTTGTGTCATTTTAGAAGATTTTTTTTCTTCCCTCAGAATGTTGAGTAGCACCAGACCGAGCCATACAAACCTAGTTTTTGTTTATTTTTGACACCCTCTATGAGCCATAATAGCAATAGTATGCCAATAGCAAAAGTCACTATGCTTTTGAGGTGTGATAACTCAGTCATTTTTGAAGATTTTTTCACTTTCTACCCCTCAAAATGTTCAGTGGCATTAGACCTACATACAAATATAGTTTGGATTGCTTTGTCTGTATGAATAACAAAAGTAGTATTGACTCTATATTAGTAACTGTAACTCTATATATGTCCGATATTGTGTATTGCGTATATATTTCAGAGTGGAAAATTGTTGTACATGGTAATTAGAACCCTGAAAAGGTCAAAAAGTCACAAAAACTATGAACAATTTTGAAGTAACATAATTTATAACAAACAACAACCAGCAACTACTGTATAAACTTAAAACAAGAACGAAGAACTAACACAACAACACTTAACTTTTTTCTTTTGTTTTCTAAACGAGCAAAACAAATGGGCTTCATGTGTTTGTGGCAGATGGCTTTGCCACGTCTGGAACAGAAACTTGACGCTCTAAGCGGCTTTTCGCAATGGTCACATTCCACTTGCACTTGGCAGATTGTCCTGTTTCCCTGCCACAGCCTCCTCCGCAACCTCACCCTGAGCCCTCCTTGCCCTTCTTTCAAATTCAGACTCAGTGAGGAAGATTCTCCTTTTATTAAGTTTTTTTTTTTTTTTAGTGTTCCATTTCTATATAGAATAAATGCATTGAAGCACGAAATATCAATCGTGGTAAAAGAGGCACATGGGCCATCTTTGGGTTTGTCAGCAGGTTGTGTAGGAGACGCATGGCTGCAAAACAAACAAAACAAAACAAAAAACCAACAGATGACAAGACAGCGTTATTGAACACTTTGATAAAGACAAAACTTGTGCTCACATGAAAGCAAAATATACTTGAACTGACCTTCCTGTCGGTCAGTCGGAGGAGCTTGTGTAGGAAGCGCCGGCTTATTCTTCTAAATGGCTCCTGCAAGAGGTTTTTTTATTTATTTATTTATTTTTTTTGAATCAACTCCAAGGCCAGCAGGATCGTACAAAAAGAAAATTGTCCACTGTTTCAGTGTGACCCTCTAAAGAGTCACAAAGTCTGAAAACAGTTTATTGGAACAACAAAAAGTCAATAATTTCACTCTAACCATTACAGAATAAGAAAATCACAAGGCAGTTTAGAAGCACCAAATCTTTTGACATTACTTTCTTGCTAAACAATTACAGCATTTACTCAAACGGATACTAAAGAAAAGCCGCAATTCCTCCTGGTGAGAGCTGGAACAAAGTCTATGTAAAACAAATTTAGTAGCAGAGCTCCCATTTCGACCACAATCAATATAAAAACTTAACTATTGTAAATACTGAACAATTCACACAACTCTGACAGCCTGGTGGAAAACATACAAAATCATAACTAGTACCCAAGCGGCCCGGTAGATGACGGGTTCGCGCGTCGGGCTCACAGTGCAGAAGTGCAGGGTTCGATTTCTGTTCCGCCTGCCTTGATGGAGTTTGCATGTTCTCCCAGTGCCTGCGCGGGTTTTCTCCGGGTACTCTGGTTTCCTCCCACATTCTAAGAACATGCGTGGCAGGCTAATGGAAGGCTCTAAATTGTCCTTAGGTGTGAGTGTGAGCGCGAATGGCTGTTGGTCTATATGTGCCCTGCGATTGGCTGGAAAACAATTCAGGGTGTCCCCCACCTCCTGCCTGATGACAGCTGGGATAGGCCCCGCGACCCTTTTAAGGATAAGTGGCTCGGAAGATGGTCAGCAATGCGGTTTACTTTCAAAATTGGCAACAAATGGAATCACCCACCTCCATCAATATTTTTTCTATGACTACTAACACAAATCTACAGTTAATACATGACAAAACTATTAACAGGTATCACATCACCCAGGATAAAATGTTACAATGCAAAAGACGTTTTTTCATGTTTTTTAAGAATCCAAGCACTCATTCCCAGGTACCGTACATCTTAAAGTATGTATTTATTTGCTTTATTTTTTTTTTCACGTGGAAGGGAAATAAAGGGTCTGAAAGTGGCTGGCACTGAATGAGTTCAAATCAGATTAGTAGATGCAAACTTTTGTTCACAATGTGCACAAGGACAGATCAACAACTACACGCATGCCACATGGGCCTGTCACCCAGTCTCTGAAAATCTTTCTGAATGTTTGGACCACTGCATTCGACTTTCCACTGGTCTCTATCGCAAA